GCAACCTTTGGCAATTTGACCCCTTCCAGATGTTTTGTACTACAACTCCCATCAGCCCTAGACAACTTGATTTTATTAGGGTACTTAAGATGTTCTGTAACTTTATAGAATAAGAGGGTGGAAACAACCTGTATTTATTTAAGAACTATTCTTGAAACAAACCTCAAACTCATCTCCACATGAATGAACGACAGTGTGAGCTGGAGACAGGCCCTTGTTGCATTTTTTTTAGCAACAGCTGATGTTAGGTAAATTATACATTTGAAAAGAAGTAACTCACCATGTGATCACTTGATAGCTGGCCAGTGATATTGTTATTCCTAGAGGAGATCTGGTCACAAAGCTGAATAAACATAGAAACGCGCACACACACAAAAACATTTTTAACCTTTTGGTAAGATGACTTAGCATTGTCTTACCATGCACTCAGTTCTGGTGCTTCTTCAATACCATATGATAGTCTGTAATGTGTCGGATTTAAAAGGAAGAGACCATTAGAGTTTATGGATTATGAAATTTATATTAATTCTTTATGTTAATGCACGACTGATGATAATCCTATTATGGTGTAATTTGTCTTTTTCTTGTTGTTGTTGTTGTTGTGTGTTGAGCAAATAAAATAATTTTTTAAAAAAAGATAGTCTGTAATGTGTAATTGGATGAACCAGCACATTTATGTGAGGGTGGGCATATTCCCAATGTGATATGTATAACAGCACTTTTCCCAGTCACCACAATTGTGGAAATCAAGCAAACGTGCCCACACTCCCACATGGAGGCTCTAGTTGAAATGATCCCAGCCAGGTCACAAGTCCAACAGGGTCCTTTGGGTTCTCCTGGACAATCACATCAGGGTCATGCCATGATATCTTTAGTGAAGAAAGTGCACAGATAGGCCCACAGTTTACATCTACAAATAAGACCCCAGTCACATTTAGTACGGGACGCGGGTCGCGCTGTGGGTTAAACCACAGAGCCTAGGACTTGCCGATCAGAAGGTTGGTGGTTCGAATCCCCGCAACGGGGTGAGCTCCCATTGCCCCGTCCCTGCTCCTGCCAACCTAGCAGTTCGAAAGCACGTCAAAGTGCAAGTAGATAAATAGGTACCACTCCGGCAGGAAGGTAAATGGCATTTCCGTGCGCTGCTCTGGTTCACCAAAAGCGGCTTAGTCATGCTGGCCACATGACCCGGAAGCTGTACGCCGGCTCCCTCGGCCAAGAAAGCGAGATGAGTGCCACAACCCAGAGTCAGACACGACTGGACCTAATGGTCAGGGGTCCCTTTACCTTTACCTTTACCACATTTAGTACAGATTGCCATGTTTAACAAATCCTTAATATCCAATAATAACTCTTCTCCTGACATATTAGCCTTCCATGGCAGAGAGACTTTGCCACACACCAGCATCCTGGAATGGCAAAGTCTGAAAAGCATGCATATTTTTTCCTCCTCTCTTTTTTTCTCAATGAGCAAATTAGCCTTCAAGGGATCTGGGTTAAAATTCCAATTTGGTCAGGGATGCAGCTGGTTATTAATGCTTCACCACTGTAATATCAAATGAAGCAGCACACCAGCCCATGGTAGCCTTTCTGTCCCCGACCCATAGGACTGGAAGCAAATTAACTCATGGGAAATATTAGACAATTTCATTTCTGCCATCAGCAAGAGTTGAAGTGCCTCCCAATGACATGCTAACACTGACCTTTGCAATGAGGTGGTGCAATGCCTGTCTCTTGAATGGGAATTTCTACAGGCATACTCTGTGTGAAGTCGTTCAAGTGGCAGAATGCAACCACCCGCGGAATTCTTCCTTGTCGTTTTAATAAGACATGCAGCGATCCCGAGCTTTCAGGTACTGGGGTCTCTCAGGTCAATACATCTTCCTAGAGAGTATGACCTTCTCAACAATACTGGCCTACAGGGAAGATCAGTAAATCATTGCCAAACTCTTGTGGGAAAGTGGCAAATCAAGATGTGGACTTAAATAAATGAGCGCAGTATTTCATTACCGTCTTTCCAGGAGAAGAGTGATGAACTTCAGTCCGTAAAACAGAGTGACACAACTGATAACGTGTTGCCAAGTGGTGTGCTGCTGTTCAAGATACCAACCACTCGGTTCCATTTCCTCCACTCTCTAGTTCTCCATTCTTCCCACCCCAACAGCCAAGACTGTCAGTATTCTGTAGTCAATGAGCACACTCAGTCCTCAGTCTCAGTCTCAGTCAGACTGCTTTGCTAAATAACCCAGTATAAAATAAGCAGCACATAAGCAGCACACAAAGCACTACCAAACCATTCTACGTTCTAAATCTTATATTAATAATCCAAAAATTGAGAGAGCTATGTACAAGATCTACTACACAAGCCACAAACAGAAAACTCATTCAAATTGTGTCCAAAAGGAAGATTCAGTCTTTAGAGTTCCTTTAGCCAGGCTCCTGTAGATATCAACGAAGGTAAGTTTGATCAAACGAAGTGTCCGTGATGTTGTGCTCAAGGGTTAGATATCAATGAGGATAAGTTTGATCAAACGAAGTGTTGGTGATGTTACGCACAAGAGTTAGACAGGGTGCCGGCATTTGTCACCTGTTTCGCCCAGGAAGAGTCTTGGGCTTCTTCGGTAAATTCACTCTCACGCTTTTGATACATTTATAAACATTCAAGTCCATATGTTACATTTCTTCTTAGATTAAGCTACAATATTTAATTTCTTTCTTCAGGAAATTCTCCTTCAAGATTTTGGTGTATTTACATACATTCAACTTCATATGTTAAGTTCTTTCTTGACTTAAGCATTTATTCATTTACTAAGCCTGCACCCTGTCTTATCCTCGTTGATATCTAACCCTTGGATTATTAATATAAGATTTAGAACGTAGAATGGTTTGGTAGTGTTCTGTGTGCCGGTTATGTGCTGCTTATTTTATATTGGTCTACTATGAGAATTGGCAGCATAGGTTCATTTCTTTGGTACTTGCTAAATAACCCAGCAGTCCCTGATTACTGCAAATTTTACCAATACACATCCCTCTAAAGCAGTGTTTCCCAAACATGGGTCTCCATCTGTATTCAAACTAAAATTCCCATCATCCCTGACCACTGGTTTTCCTAGCTATGGATGATGGGAGTTGTAGTCCAAAAACAGCTGGAGACTCAAGTTTGAGGAACACTGCTCTAAAGCAAGTCTGGAGAATATATGGCCTTCAATCTCCTATCAACCACACCCAGCATGGCCAATGGTCAGGGAAGATGGGAGCTATAGTCCAATGCCACCCCTACCCTGCTCTAAGGACTACTTCAAACAAGTTTGTTCTTGCTGTTTTCAGCAATTGTACCCTAGTAAAGGTAAAGGGACCCCTGACCATTAGGTCCAGTCGTGACCAATTCTGGGGTTGCACGCTCATCTCGCTCTATAGGCCGAGGGAGCCGGCATTTGTCCGCAGACAGCTTCTGGGTCATGTGGCCAGCATGACTAAGCCACTTCCGGCGAACCAGAGCAGCGCACGGAAACGCCATTTACCTTCCTGCTGGAATGGTACCTATTTATCTACTTGCACTTTGACGTGCTTTCGAACTGCTAAGTTGGCAGGAGCAGGGACCGAGCAACGGGAACTCACCCCGTCACGGGGATTCAAACCGCCAACCTTCTGATCGGTAAGTCCTAGGCTCTGTGGTTTAACCCACAGCGCCACCCGCGTCCCTTTTGTACCCTAGTAGAATAATACATATCTTGTGAAATCATATATTAGTGGGAGTATGTTTGCGCGAACACACACAAACACACATACGATGGCTTTAAAAGAGAGAAGTAGACAAATTCATGAAGGATAAGGTTGTCAATGCCTACTAGCCACAATGGTTATGTTTTACCTCCACTGTTGGAACCGGGGGGCTGCCACAGAAAAACTCTCTCTTGGGCCGCCATTCCCCCCCCCCACCTGAGGCTCTACAATATTAAGGTCCACACTGTGGGGGTGTGCATAGCCTTTGCTAGCAGCCCCATGGCCATAATGTGTTAGAAAGTTGTTTGCTTGGGGGGGAGGGTTTAAAAAAGTTAGATATAGTTACTGTATAAGTAATGTGGACTCTTAACAATGCATTGCTAATTTAGACTCTGAAAACTACTCCAAATATTTTAGCAATTAATGCATCATTAATTGGGTATATGGCTAGTTATCTTGATGCCATTTGTTTTTACTGTTGTTACCTGCCTTGGGCACCGTGTGGAAAAACAGAATGGAATGCTAAATCATAAATGAAAGAGGCCACAGAAAGGACACCCGTGCTATAACTGCTGTGCTATCCAGACCAGAGCTGGATATATATTTCAGATTTATCGTCAGCATCGAGGGAGGGCAGTTTGTAGTCTTAAGCTACCAGCAATAAGCTTAGCGATTTCACAGTCAGCCTTTTTCTCACACCCACATTTACATATTGTTTATCTCACATTTAAAGCAGCAAGCAGAGTCAGGCTGGGTTGCCATCTCTTAACAAGTCCTTAAAGATCCGTAATTATTATGTCCTTCAGTTTGACTTTCCCAGAGTAGAATTTAACCCCTATTTATCATTGAGATGGTGGGAGCTGCTTATCTAATATAAGGACTCACTCTCTCTCTCTCTCTCTCTCTCTCTCTCTCTCTCTCTCTCTGTGTGTGTGTGTGTGTGTGTGTGTGTTTTGAGGGAATTTCCTGTTAATAGGAATGTGGATTGTGTTCAACGCCCTGCTCTGACCTCCTTGGGTGAGAAATTCACCCTCTTCCCCCCTCCACCAATAATAGTACCCTCTGAAGTGATTTGCTTGCCTGTCAAAAGCAGCTTTTCATTGCTAAAGATACTGAATCTCTCTCCTTTTTTCCTCGTTTCCCCCCCCCCTCCCCATCTCCTTGCTTCCCTTCCATCTTTCATGGCCGTTGCCATGGCACCCAGGGAGAGCAAAGCACCGCAGCAGGGGAGGGGGGAAGGAGGCGGTCCATGCTGCAATTTCCAGGCTCTCTCCTCAGTGAGCTCATCAACCTCCTCCTCCAAGGAGGGAGGTGGCTGAGGCTCTGTCTATTGCTGGTGGGTGGGTGGTTTCCATCCTCAGCATCACCAACCAAAGGAGGGGGGGACAGAGAGAGAGAGAGAGAGAGCAGTTGCTGATGTTGTGCTCTGAAGCAACCTCAGTAGAAGGGAAAATGGATCCAGCTTGCACATCCCTCGCCTTTCAACACCTTCCCTTGGTTTCAGCATGGTGAGCATAAGCAACAGAGAAGCATCGGCTTCATCGCTGCTTTCCTTAATCATCTCTAAATCCGATGGCAACCGATATTTGAGGTGTGCTCTTTTCTGTACGAGCGAGCATCCTAACCATGTAACAATGACTTTCATCGGAGCCTCTGGAAAGGGTGGAGGAGGAAGGATGGGAGGGGTGTTGTGGGAGAGAGGGGAAAGGAAGATGGAGAGGGATGAAGGCTGATTAGGCGCCGTCTTAGGAAATGCGGCTCAAAGATTAATTGCAACTGCCTTCTTGCCCGTAGATTTAGCAACGAAAGATGCTTTTGTTTGTCCTTTTCCATTGAAATGTGGACGTCTATCCACTTGAAAATGCAGTTGTTATTTCTGGGTTGTTTTAATTCCTCCTCGTAATTGCCCAAATATTGGTCTGGGCCTCAGCCAGCTGCAGTAAAGCCAGAAATAAGCAATGTCAGATCCTGTCAATGGCTGATCGATGGATAATATTTACTGCTAGAGGTGTGTGTGTATCATTTGGAGGCATTGCTGAAAGGTTCAGGTCGGATGCAGTTGGCGTGTAGGTGTGTGTGTGTGTGTGCACGCACACGCATGTATGCATGCATGCCACACACATCTGGGTCTCTTTGTAGGTTTCTACCTACAGCACATGTGCTGTTTTCCTTGCCAGTGATTGATTGCCAGTGTCTTCCACTCAGGCTGGTATGAGGTATCTATGGCCTCTTGGTTTCATTTCAGCCACTCTGGGACGGATCTATATCCTTCATTTGGTGTGCTATATGGCCTCTCTTGGTCACTGCCCTCATGTCCTACTTGGGGGCTTCCAATAAAGATCTGGTTGTCCACAGAAGACTGAACTAGGCAGGCCTTAGATCTGATCCAGAAGCATTGCTCTTATTACATTTTTTTTATGACAATAAGAAACAATATTTATCAAATTTTAACTGAATTGATTTTTGGAGAGTGGGGGAAGAATAGTGGCAACCCATATTGAGCAAACCTCCATTTTGATACTTCAGAACCTGAAAAACCAAATCACTATTTCTCCACACTACCATCTCCATTCAGTCTTCCTGGATGTATGCATCATCTTCTTGAATTACAGAAAGTAGGTTTTTGTTATGAGACTCACTGGTTTAACCCTGCAATGATTACTTTGGTCATAGTTTTTTAAATGAGTACATCTGTCTACCATTGTATACATTCAGGGCAGAACAGTCATGATATATGTTCCAGGTCAATTTATATTTTTATTCTTACAATGGTAATAAATCCACATAGCAGTGACTTAAAGAGGCAGATTCAAAGCATTACTTTACACTTCGTAGATTTGATGTACCGTGTGAGCTACTATAGTTCCTGACGAAGCATGGCACCATACAAGTCAACACTGGTTGTGAACCCCCAGTTCATAGCAAGCAGTATGTCTCTCTATATCAATGGTAAATTGTAGGGTTTGCTGAGGTAATCACTGATCCTGAGGTTTAAAAGACATCTTGATTCATCTTTATTTGGGACAACTGCTTAAGTAAATTGAGGCTACAAGTGAGTTTTTAGAAAATGAGAAAATCACAATCCGTATCACTTTTCTTTTCCTCAGAAGAAATAACAATCCCATAGTCAATATGTTTGGTCTGAGTCGGAGAGGGTTCAATAAAAGAACCCAAGTTATTTGAGACGGTCATTTCTTAAATCTTATGTTTCTTTTGCACCAGTAATGTGGCAAATGTGGTAGAGGACACAGAAATGACAGTTCTTGCTCACTGGGCTCACAATGAAAAGACGTTTCCAGCCAATTTACTGTACAATACATGCACACTTCTTTCTCATTCATAGCACACCGTCTCTCTAGCTCCCCTCAAGATACTGCATTCTCCCACAAATGCATTGTCCTTTTTAGGAGGACACTTAAGAATGGGAAGTGTGAATGAAACAGGCAGGGGTTTGAAAACACGCCATACTCAATGGAGAATCAGAATCTGCTGCTGATTGGGTATAGTTGATGAAAAAACCTCTTTTTGTTGTCAGACTGCTTTTAACAGAAATCTGACCTGGGGAGAGGGGTTGTTACAGACCATAGGGGCCCAACCATAAATCCCAAATTAAATTTAACCATACAGTCGAATATGCTGAACAGGAAAAGAACGTATGAACAGGGCAGGCTTGGTATTATACAAAAAAATAAAAATACTAACCGATCAAATAAATTTATTTAACCTTGTCACTTCTACTTTTATTCCTTATTTATTATCTTTGGGAGTGGGAACAAAAGCTTCTCCACTGTGGGAAGACCATTTGAGTCATAATCCCTATACAGTACATATGATCTCCCTCAAGGAATCACTAAATTTTATCACTAGTAAAGAACTAGTCTTCTCCCAGCTGCTGTGTATACTGCTACTAGGTCAGTTGTGTGTGAAATGATGCAATGCATGTAACTAGTAACTATTGCTTGTGTCAACAAGTCATGGAAGAGCTGTGCAGCAAAGTGTGCTTTCTGCCACTGTGGATGAGCAGAATTATTTGGCAAGAGAGCCTGGTTATATCTTTGGAGAGGCAGAAGGATGGGGTGAAAGGAACTTTGTCTCAAAACTTTTAGCAGTCAGAATATCTCTAGGCAAAGGTGTGTCCCCCCCCCCCCCACTTTCCTAGATCACCAGATGGAGGTGTTGATACAAAAAGGAGATGGCAGGAAATAACTGGAGGAGTGGGGATAATAGGGTAGCCTTGCTGTCTTGTGCAGGTGACCATATTACTGTTCACCATATTTTTCTTTTAAAATAAACGTTTTTGGATCTGTTCACTCTTATCAACCTACCCGCTCTTTGAGATCAGTGAGGATGTCTACGTATTGTTCTTCATAGAGGGCAGCCCTCTGTTTGAAGAGCTCTCTGAGGACTATTTGGAGGAATCCTCTATTTGGAGGGCTGTCCAGTCTGAATTCCATTCGAAGAACACCAAGAAGGAAGAGCAAGGGCCTAGGAATTGCCCATCAGTGGACTGCAGACTAAGCAGTCATATCAGACATGTGATCAGTCACAATCTATCAAGCCAGGGTTTCCCAAACTTTGGTCTCCAGCTGCTGTTAGACTACAACTTCCATCATCCCTAGCTACCAGGACCAGTGATGGAAATTGTAACCCCCAAACATCTGGAGATGCAAGTTTAGGAAATGCTGTTTCAAACTGGTGAGATGCATTTCATTTATTTTTTAATTGCAGTAATACTTTCTAAAGTTTTCAACTGCACATTTGCACATGCAAAATTTATGCAAATCTGGCTCACCTCTTGCCTTTTTCTGGTGACATGCTAAGATCAGATTAGGAGATCCTCCCTGCAGGCCTGCTGGTGAGATCAATTCGGTTGGCTGCCCCATTGTCCCAAGGTCAATGCCCCTGTACTGAAGCTCAGCAATCGGAGCAAAGTCCCATAGAGAATGGAGAACATCCAAGCCAAACTCCATCAACATGGGCAGTTGAGCAGACACAACACCTCAGCTCTGCTTCCCTTTTATACTTTGCATCCTGATTGCAGCATCTGGGCTTGATGAGGCAGGTGACCTTCACCTACTCCCAGCCTACTCCAGGAATCACACACCTCCCAGAGCTAGTGAGCCCTTGCTTGCCTCAGCCTCCTAGAGAAGCACTCCTGATGCTCCCTGCGCTGCTTCAGAGCCCACCTTGTTCATGGAGACAGGTGATGGATCCTGCTGCTCTGGTTTCTATACAATGACCTCCATCTCCTCACCATCCTCCATCACCCTGTGAGTACTTCCTTCCCCATCACCTGCTTGCCCCAGTGTGTCCCAGTCCCGGCTACACCCCTCACTGGAATCCTCTTCCTGTTATCCTTCCAGTTCATGATACCTGGAATGTCCTGGGGATGAGCCAGCACTTGTAGCCAGCTGAGTTTGACGAGAGCACGGCACCCGAAGATGCACGTTTTTTGGTACTGCGCTCTCACATCCCGGTTTTCATCAGGGGAGTGTTGAAGAGTGTGCCATTCTGCTCCTCCAGTAGTTTTGCCTTACTGGAATGTGTCTTTGAAGGTAAATGGCGTTTCCATGCGCTCTGGCACTTGTCATGGTCCTCTGTGCGCCAGTAGCGGTTTAGTCATGCTGACCACAGAAAGCTGTCTGTGGACAAACGCCGGTTCCCTCGGCCTGAAGCGAGATGAGTGCCGCAACCCCATAGTTGCCTTTGACTGGACTTAACAGTCCAGGGGTCCTTTACCTTTACCTAATCCCTCTGGCGTGCAAGGAAAGGGATTGTTGAGGTGTGTATGCAAAAATGTCTGACATTGCATGGTCTGTTGTGCAAAGGTTAGAATCACATCCACTTTTGCCACTGACTCCACCCACTGTTGGCATGCAGTCCCTGGAACATTGCCCACAAGAGGATATGGCCCTCAGGCTGAAAGAGGTCCCTAACCCTGGCCTAGCCAAACTGGCTTACAAACCAGCCAATGGCTAAATACAGTCTGTATGTCTGTGTTTGGTAGAAAAGGAAAACAGCAGCTGAAAGCAGCTAGGTCGTTCATTAAATGCATGAGAGGCCATCTCAACAATTTAATTATTATTAAGACTGTAATCCAGCAGGGAAGAGGATGGGTTTTTTTCTTTCATTGCTACAAGAGATGACTAAGCTTATGGTACTCATGTCAGGAAAATATATGTAATATTACTAACAAATTCAAGCCCAGAGCAATGGTCAAATTTATGCTTCCACAACCCATCACTTTACTGTATTTCATGGTAATGTATTCTGGATAACATTACAATTTCACAAATCGGTTTATAAATGCATATGTGGGCCTCATATTTCTACCACTGAAATTGGTATAAATGCCAAATAACTGGAACGAAATTAGTGACTCAAATTCCCCCTTATATTAAAGCTCTCTTCAGGCCAAAAGTGTGTTAAGCGGGTGGGGAAAACATGGGTTGACTTTGCTGCCAATGTCTCTGAGCACTGGACATGCGCACTCTACCCCTGACCTTTG